CAGCCTCCCCAGCAGGAATTGGGGGTGTCCTGCCCCTAGCCAGCCCACCTGGAAGGAGCACATGAGGGTCTCGTCCACGCTCATCATGGCGCCCGCGTTGTCGAACTCGCCGCAGTAGTTGGGGGCCGAGAACAGGGTGACGAGCTGGCGCTTGGCGAAGAACTCGTAGCCATCCTCCACCACCTGCACGAGGGGGGCACGCTGTGAGCACCCCCGGGGCAGATAACCACCCCCCCGGGACCACTGTGTGACCTCAGGGGCAAATACCCATCCCCCCGTCCTGTGGTAAATATTCCCCTCCTGAATATCCACTCCCCTGGGGTCAATACCCGCCCACTCAGGGCAAATTCCCATTTCCCTGGAGTAAATATCCAGATATTCAGGCCCCCAGGGCTAATACTGCCCTCCCAGGGCAAATACTCAGTCCCCTGGGGCAAATTTTGACCCTCACGGGGCAAATGCTCACCCCCCCAGGGTCAATGTCAGGCAAATCTTCCCCCCTAGGGCCAATATCCACCTCCAGGCAAATGCCCAAATCCTGGGGTAAATACCCAAATCCTGGGGTAAAATCTCACCCCTCTAGGATAAATACCCAAATCCCAGAGTGAATTCCCCCTGAAATCCTGCCTACACACTCACAACAACCCCCCAGAGTCAAGTGGGCAAGCACCCCCTCAGGACCCACCCCTGGAGCACACACCGCCCCTGGGGGGCAAATCCTCGGGGTACACACGCCTGCCCTACACCCGACCCCCACTGGGCACCCAAAGCCCCGCTCCGGGGGCCCTCCCCAATATTTTGGGGGTCCCGGAGGTACCTGGTGTGCCCGGCAGATGAGATCCAGGTCGTGCTTGTGCAGGAACTTGGCCACCACCTCGGCCCCGAAGGTGAAGGAGACGCCGCGGTCGTTCTCCCCCCAGCCCTGCACGTCCTTGTCGGGGTCGGACCAGAGCAGGTCACAGAGCAGCCCCTGATCCGGGACGTCCGTGGGCCGCATGATCCGCCGGATCTGCTCCATGGACTGCAGGTCTGGGGACAGCCCTGCGGGGAAGGGGAGCCCCCGGAGCTCAGCACGGAGATCCCGCCCCTCCACAGCCCCCCACCCAGATCCCTGGGAAGGGGTTTCTTCTCCCACCTCCGTGGCAGCAGAAGATCTTCTCGTCCACGATGGCGGCGATGGGCAAACAGTTGAAGCAGTCGGTGAAGGTCTTCCAGAGCTTGATGTTGTATCGCCGCTTGCCTGGGGGGCACAGTGAGGATCTGGGGGTGTCCTTGGGGGACAACGGGCACCTAGGGGTGTGTGGGGCTCCCAACAGGGGTTTTAGCCCCCCAGGTGATGCACAGGCAGCTGCCCCGAGGTCCATCAGACCTGGCAGAGCTCTGGCTGCACAGGGACAATGGGGACTTGGGGGTGTCCTTGAGGGACAATGGGGACTTGGGGGTGTCCTTGAGGGACAATGGGGACTTGGGGGTGTCCTTAGGAGAGCACTGAAGTGGGTGATGGGGGGCACAGGGGGACAGGGTGGGAATGGGGGGGGGGTAGGAGGACACAGGGCTGGACAAAGGGGTGGCAAGTGGACACTGAAGTGGCCAGGAGGACACAGGGATGGCAGGGGGATATTGGGGATGGCCAGGGGGATCCAGGAGGACAGGAGGGGGTGGCAGGAGGATGTGGAGGGGGACAGGAAGTCAAGGAGGGGCAGTAGGACGTGGGGTGGGCAGGAGGACAATGGGAGCAGTGGATGAGGTATATGGGGGGTCAGGGGGACAAGGAGGGGTGGCAAGAGCATGTGGGGGGACAGGAGGACCATAGTGGGGCAGGGGGACAACGGGGGGGCAGGAGGACATGGGGAGAGGGCAGGAGGATGTGGAGGGGGACAGGAGGACATGGAAGGGGACAGGAGGACACAGGGGTGGGCAAGGGGTGGCAAGAGGATGTGGAGGGGGACAGGAAGACAAAGAGGGGCAGTAGGACATGGGGTGGGCAGGAGGACAATGGGGGCGGTGGATGGGGGACATGGGAGGCCAGGGGGACAAGGAGGGGTGGCAAGAGGACACGGGGGGGTGGCAAGAGGACATGGGGGGGCAGCAGGATATTGGGGTACAGGAGGACACAGAGGGGGGGCAGGAGGACAGGGGGGGGGGCAGGAGGACATGGGGAGGGAGCAAAAGGATACGGGGTGACAGGAGGACAACAGGAGTGGTAGACAGGGGGACAAGAGAGGGTGACAAGAGCACATGAGGGGGCAGGAGGATACAGGAGGGCAGGAGGTGGCAGGAGGACAAGGGGGTGGGCAGGAGGATATTGGGGGGGCAGGAGCACATGGGGGAGGGCAGAGGGGGCAGGAGGACTACCCTGGTCACAGCTGGGGTGGGACAGCACGGGGACGGCGGCAGGGGGGGGGGGCAGGGGGACGGCGGGGGGGCTGGGGGGGCCCAGCCTGGGCACTCACACTCGTCGTAGAAGCCGTAGATGCGGTTGATGCTGGCACACTCGTGGTTGCCCCGCAGCAGGAAGAAGTTCTCGGGGTACTTGATCTTGTAGGCGAGCAGGAGGCAGATGGTCTCCAGAGACTGCTTGCCCCGGTCCACGTAGTCCCCCAGAAACAGGTAGTTGCTCTCAGGGGGGAAGCCCCCGTACTCAAAGAGCCGCAGCAGGTCATAGTACTGCCCGTGGATGTCACCTGAGGGGGGGGGGGACAGGCTGTGAGTGGGACCCCCAGCTCCCCACAGCCCCCCTGCCTTCCCGCGGGCAGCACAGGGCTGTGCAGGACCCCCCACCCACCCAGCCAGCCCTCACCGCAGATCTTGAGAGGTGCCTCCAGCTCCAGCAGGATCGGCTGGCTCAGGAAGATCTCCCGGGATTTCAGGCACAGCCCCCGGATCTCGTTCTCCGTCAGCTGCACGTTCTTCCCTGGCCGCGACCCTTGGACTGGCCCCCCACCCCAGAGAGCAGGGTCAGGGACCCCTAAAGTGCCCCAGGAACCCCCCAGGAACCCCGCCAGTGCCTCAGGAACCCCGCCAGCAACCCATCTCTAGGGGACCCCCCTTATATTCCCCAGCCCCTCCCGCCGGGATACAGATCCCTTAGGAACTCCCCCCATATCCTCCGGGCTCACTTCCAACCCCCACAGCCCTTGGGGACCCCCCCATATCCTCAGGTTCATCTCCAGCCCCCCACACCCCTTGGGGACCCCCCCATATCTTCCAGTTCGCCCCCCCCACTCCCTCGCGGGGGTGCAGACTCCTCAGGGACTCCTCCAGCCTTCCAGACCCCTTGGGGACCCGCCCCAAACACCACCCGGCCCTGACCCCCCTCCCCAAAAGCACCGCGGCCTAACACCCCCCCCCCTCCCCCGCCAGGCCCGGGCCGGGAAACTCCCCTCCGCGGGGTTGGGGCACGGCCCGGGCGGGCCCCGGGGGCCTCCGCGGGCGGACGGGGGGCAATCCCGGGGTGCAGGGGCGGCGGGGACCCCTCACCCTCCAGGAGGCGGCTGATGATGGAGTCGAGGTTGAGCTTCTCGGTGTCCGCCATGGCCGCCCGCGCGCCGCCACGCCCCGCGCGCCCGCCCAGAGCGCCTCCCCCCCGCGCCCGGGGGCGCCCCCTGCCGGCTCGGAGGAGTCACCGCGGCGCTTCGGTGGCTCCCTCGTCCCGGTGTCCCGATCCCAGCGCCGATGGGGATGGGAGACGGGACAAACATGGAGGGGAGCGGGGCGGGGAGCCACGGCGGTGGCATAGAGGCAGGAGGACACCCGTGGAGGTGGGACATGCGTGGCAGATGGAGAAGCCGGGTAAGGGGACATCCCTGGATAGGGGGACATCCCTGGATAGGGGGACATCCCTGGATAGGGGGACACACCGGGAACAGGGATACCCCGGGAAGGGGGACATCCTGGGAAAGGGGACATCTCGGCGAAGGTGACATCGCGGGAAAGGGGACATGAGGGACGACGGGGACTCGCATCCCGTTCCTGGGCGGGCAGAGACCGAGTGGGGGAGGCAGCCTCGGGGTAGGTGGGGCTCCCCGGGACTGCGGTCCTGGGGACACGGAGGGGACACGAGGGGATATGGGCACTCGTATCCTAGTCCTGGGAGCACAGGGATAGGAGCTGGGAGGAGTTAGGGGCAGATCAGGAGGGACCAGGGCAGGAGTGGGTCCCCAGGAGTGGGGTCAGGGTGACACGCAGGGGACACAGAGGGACACCAGGGGACACCACGACGCCTGGCAGAGCTCGGGGAGGTCCCCGCCCCGGGGCCTTGGGGACACCGTCGGGAGCAGCACCGGGCGGTTGCCGGGAAGCTGTTGCCACCCCGGGGACAGCCCGAAGGCCGGGCTCCCGCTGGGGACACGGAGGAGGGTGACACGTTTGTGCCACGGCTCGGGCAGGGTGGCAGTGCCAGGGATGGGGTCCTGCCTGTCCCCTGCCTATCCCCCTGCCCACAGTGGCTGTGCCATGCCGTGCCATGCTTCCCCATGCCATGCTGTGTCCTGTCATGCCATTCTCTGTATGCCACGCCAAGACATGCCATTCTCCTGTGCCGTGCCATGCCATTCCCTGTGTTCCACTCCCTGTGCACCATGCCGTGCCGTGCCACTGCCCACATGCCATCCCCTGCCATTCCCTGTGCGCCATTCCAGCCGTGCGGGTGCGGTCGGGAATAGCTCCCGGGGCCTGCCCCGGCCCTGACATTTCTGCTCCGCGGTGTCAGTTTTACACCCGGCCCTGGGTGACCTCGGCCTGGCCCGGTCCCTGTCCCCGGTCACTTGTCCCCTACCCCCATCCCTGTCCCCGTCCCGTGTCCCAGTCTCGCTCCCTGTCCCCGTCCCCCCGCGGTGCCATCCCGGCTCCGCAGCCACGGGCCCCTCGCTGTCCCCTTTTCCTGTCACCCCTCTCGGTCCCCCCGGTCCCTCCGGTGCCCCCGGTCCCGCCCCGCCCGGGGCCGCCCCGCCCGGGCAGGAGGCGCCGCCGCCACCGCTGGGACCGGAGCGTCCGGGGTGTGACAGCACCGGGACAGACAGACAGACCCCGACAGACCCCGACAGTGCAGGAACCGGAGCGGGCAGAGCCACTGCCGGGGTGTGACAGCACCGGGACAGACTGACACCGCCACTGCCACCGCCGGTGGGTGCTGGGTGGGGGTCCGGGTGATCCGGGGGAGGGGTGTGTGTGTGTTCTTGGGGGGGTGCTGGTGTAGGGAGGGCAGGAACAGCGGGGTGCAGGCCGGGGTGTGTGCACGTGTGTGTGTGTGCATGTATGTGTGTGTGCACATGTGTGTGTGTGCACGTGTGTGTGTACAAGTGTGTGCACGCACATGTGTGTGTGTGCACACGTGTGTGTGCACGTGTGTGTGTGTGCACATGTGTGTGTGTGCACATGTGTGTGCACATGTGTGTGCGTGTGCACATGTGTGCGTGTGCACATGAGTGCGTGTGCACATGTGTGTGTGTGCACGTGTGTGTGCACGTGTGTGTGTGCACATGTGTGTGTGTGCATATGTGTGTGTGTGCATATGTGTGTGTGTGTAGGTGTGTGTGTGCATATGTGTGTGTGTGCACATGTGTGTGCGCACATGTGTGTGTGCACGTGTGTGTGTGTGCATATGTGTGTGTGCACATGTGTGTGTGCACGTGTGTGTGTGTGCACGTGTGTGTGTGCATGTGTGTGTGTGCACATGTGTGTGTGTGTGCCTGTGTGCACATGTGTGTGTGCGCCTGTGTGCACATGTGTGCGCATGTGCAGGTGACACGCTGCAGGTGACGAGGTGTGGGTGACAGGATGCAGGTGACAGGGTGACAGGGTGTGTGCACACGTGTGTGTGTGTGTGTGTGCACAGAGCGGTGTGACAGTGCAGGTGTGCAGGTGACAGGGTGAGGGTAACCAGGTGTGGGTGACAGGGTGCAGGTGATGGGGGGGGTGTGGGTGACGGGGTGCAGGTGACAGCGTGGGTGACAAGCTGTGGGTGACAGGATGCGGGTGATGGGGTGACAGTGACAAGGCTGCAGGTGATGGTGCAGGGGACAAGGTGCGAGTGACAGTGCAGGTGACAGCGTGGGTGACAGGGAGCGGGTGACAGGGAGCGGGTGACAGGGAGCGGGTGACAGCGCGTGCAGGACCCGGCGGCGCAGCAGCCGCGCTGGTGGCCCCGTGCCTGCCGGTGGTGGTGGCGGTGACAGTGACACCGCAGGCAGCTGGAGATAAGCCCGGGGACGTGCGTGTTGGCAGCTCCGCCACGCTGGGGACAGGGGGCCGGGGCGGGGGGGTAGGAGGGCGTGCCCAGCCTGGGGACACAGGACAGGGGGACAGGGACACCCCGGCGGGCTGAGCCACGCCCCGGGTCCCGCTGTGGCAGCGTCTCCCTCCCTGGCGACGGGGACAGGGACACGGGCAGAGGTGCCAGCGCCTGGCGCGAGGTGGCAGAGGGGACAATGGGGCTCTGTGTCGCCTAATCCGGGGCACGGGGCCGGGGGTTGGCACCCCGGGGTGGCGCGGGGGGGTGTTTAAAGGCCAGACCGGCCGGTGTCCCCTGTGCCAGTTGTCCCCGAGCCCTCGTCCCCTGCGCGCTCTCAGGCCACGGCTCCCACCCCAAGGTACCGGGGGACACGGCTGTCCCAGCTTGGGGACCGCAGGGCCACCTCCCGGCTGGGGGTGGAGGGGGACAGGGAGGTCCCCAGGCTGGGGGGGGGGCGCGGACCCGGAGGGACCCCGGTGGCTGCCCCGTGGATGGGTTTTGGGGGGTTCTGGTGCCATGTCACCGAGCAGTGTGTCCCCCAACCCTGTTCCCGGGTGCCGGCCACCCCTTGGGGACACCCCCCGCCGTGTACCCCTGAGGTCCCGGCACCCCGGGGGGCGGGGGGTGCCTCGGTGAGTGGCTGCCAACGGGCACCGCTCAGCTCCGTGCCTCAGTTTCCCTCCGTGCCAGCTCTGCCGGGCACCTGCTGGGACTGGGGACACCCTGGGGCCGGGGACACCCCGGGGACTTGGGTCTGCACCCCCAGGGCACCTTGGCACCCCCGGGGCAGGGGGGGTGCCCCCGGCTGTGCTGAGCTGGCACGGGATTACACTAATCCCTGGGCGGGCTCAGCCGGAGGTGCCGGGGCCACCGGGGCTGGCACCGAGGGGAAAACCCGGGGCCACCGTGACTGGCACCGGGGGGTCAATCTGGGGCCGCCAGGGTGGTCAGCGAGGGGACAAGCTGGGGCCACTGGAGCTGGCACAGAGGGGTCAACCTCGGGACACCAGGAATGGGCACTGTGGGGCTGGCACCGAGAGAACAAACTGGGGCCGCTGGGGTTGGCACCGAGGGGACAAGCTGGGGACACCGGAGTTGGCACCCAGGTGTGCCCCAGGAAGGGTGCCAGGCTCTGGGGGGTTTCGCGGGAGGGGTCCTCCCATGGGGGGCTCTAGAGGGGTCTCCCAGCACTGGGGAGGGGTGGCCGGGGGGGTGGCAGGTCCCCAAGGAGCCACGCTGACTCTGCCTGTCCTTCTCTTGCAGCCCCTCTGTCACCAGGATGGTGAGTGGCCCCCGGGTGGGGGGTCCGGGCGGAGGTGCGTGCCCACCCCGGGGACCCCGGCGGTGCCGGGCACTGGCGCGGGGCAGCGTGGCGTGCTGTGCCCACCCTCCGCGTGACCCCGCGGGGACAAGGGGACGCTTTGTCCGGGAGCTGGTGGCCCCGGCGGCTGGCACTGCCCCGCTGTCCCCGAGGCGGTGGCGCTGTGCCCGGCCCCCCGCAGCCCCCCGGCACCGTGACACCCCCACCCGCGGGTGGCAGCGGCGCCCGGTGCCCCCACGCTGCGTCTGCACCGTGTCCCCCGTGCCCGCCCGGTGTCTGCCCCCGTGACGACTCCGTGCCACACCCACGCCAGCCCCTTAGATCCCTGTCCGCCCCTCAAACCCGAGCCACACCCTTGCCAGTCCATGGCAACCCATTTAGCCCCGTGCCAGCCCGTTAGCCACGTACCAGCCCCTTAGCCCCGTGCCAGCCCCGTGACAAGCAATTAGCCCCACGCCAGCCTCATGCCACCCCTATGCCAGCCCTTCAGACCTGTGCCAGCCCCACGCCAGTCCCATGCTAAACCACCGGCCCCATAACAAACCCTTAGACCCGTGGCAGCCCCACACCAGCCCTGTGCCAGCCACGTGCTAGTCCCTTAGTCCCGTGCAAGCCTCATACCAGCGTGATGCCAACCTGCTCGCCCTATGCCAGCCCCGTGCCATCCCTTTGGCCCCGTGCCAACGCCATACCAGCCCTTTAGCCCGTGCCAGCCCCACATACCAGCCCCTTAACTCCATGCCATCCACCTAGCTCTGTTCCAGCCCCATCCCAAGCCCCTTAACCCCGTGCCAGCCCCGTGCCACCCCCTTCTCCCAGTTCCAGCCCCGTGCCACCCCCTTCTCCCCGTGCCAGCCCCGTGCCAGCGCGGTCCCTGCTCCCGCAGCTCTCGATGGCCCAGCCGAGCCCGGAGCGGGTGCCCAGCCCCGCGGAGCAGGAGTGGGCAGGGCCCGAGGCGCTGTGCCCAGGTTGGTTGGAGGAGGAGGCCCCCGATGGCGACGTGCCCGGGGACAGCGGGGACCCCGACGGTGCCACCCACGCCTTCGAGCGGCTGCAGAGTGCCCTGTGCCAGGAGGGGCTGCCCCCCACGCTGGACTGCTCTGCGGAGCCCCGCACGGGTGGGAGGCACGGGGGGCACGGTGCCAGGCTGGGGACACGGGGGTGGCACGGGCTGGGGTGGGGGAACGGCGCCAGGCTGGGGACACGGGGGTGGCAGGGACTGGGATGAGGGAATAG